ACACTAAAAACCTGCATCACTGATACAATAAAAACTTGTGTGATGGCTAAGCCTGTTTGAAACCTTTTCATCCCAGCTTTTTTGTCTGAAGAAATATTTTACAATGTACCTAAGTTTTGCATGAAAAGCCTGTTTTCGTTTAAGAACTGTAATGAAAAAAGTGTTTTTCTTTAGTATGGCAAATGTAAGATTGCTTCAGCTAAAATCTTCACAAGTTATGTTTTTAGAGACATAAAAGTGGCTGGCTTTATAAAAGAAATATTCAAGAAAATTACAATCCTCTGCCATAAAAATGTTCTTGCACTAAAATGAATCAGTAGTCACACTGATGTACGTCAGGAGATTTAATAATAGCCTTGCTGAGCGGAAGAGGTTATCAAATCTCCGAAGAAGAATAAGCATGTTGGCCACTAGTCTCAATTCAATTTGTTACGGATCTAATTGCTTCCAAATAAATTTATACTATAACCTATTTATATGTCAGTTTATTTCTACTACTGTATCACACAGAAAGTAGTACTGTCAGTGAAAAAGAACAAACTTCTTTCCTTATTTCCCACACATTTTCTGCTGTAACCATAGAATTCAAGGACTAGAAATTTCGTGTGGTATCAGGGAACAGTTGAATAAAACTGTTAGGTATTTGTTATATTGTGATGTTTGCTAAGTGCTGATTTTATGGAGGAAGACAGATGCATCTGCTTAGTTAAGTAGAAGCATTAAACAGAAGAACTGTATTTTCAAATGTTGATATTTATATTTTATGGATGGTATTGGGTTTAAGGTACTCAAACTCTCAGAAATTAAAAGAAAAAAAACAATTTTTTTTCTCATTTCATCCAAGCTTGTTTCCCATTTGATACTTTTTATGGTTTTGTGATCTCTCTCTCATTAGCCTTTAAAAGATAGTTTCTTTAAGCTAATATTTTAACCATATCTCATAATCCCTTTTTAATATTGCTCAGACTTCTTTCCAAAGCTATAGAGATCTGAGGCCTTTTTCTCTATCTTTTTTCCTTCTTACTGGGATGCTGTTCCACAACCTCTTTCCTGTGATGGTTAGAAACACTTGTATTAATATGCAGCCTCCATTTATTCATGGCCAGGGTTTCCTCACTTGTTCGTGTGACAACATTCTCGTTGGGTTTAAATAGCTCTTCATCTTTTCTTTAACTCGCTCTGTTTAAACCTCAGCTGTATGTTAAGTTTTTAGTTGTTTCCTAAGGTTGTTTTTTTTTTGTTTGTTACGCTAAACAAGCCAAGCTCTGCTTGTCTCTTAAAATAGGCTTTTATTCTTTATGTCATCCTGATAGCCCTGCTCTGCTGTGAATCAGTCTTTTGTGAAAATAACTGAGCAAGATATACCCTGTGTGCTCACAAAGTATACTGTCTTTAGTACTAAGTTAGCTCAGTGGGACTTGCTTGGCCCAGTGCATCCTTACTTACTACTTCAAAACATTAATGACTTGTAGTTTCCTGTGATCGCCAATATTTGCAAGTCTTTCTTTCCTTCTGCAACTCAGAAGGGAATTTTTTTGTTGCTTCTGTTTGAATGGAAGACATTTCACCTTGTGCATTTAAAGTAAATCCCTTCTCCATGTCTCAAGGTATCCAGCTCCCCTTCTATCCGGATCCCCCTCTGCACCAATAGTGCCTATGGGCTTTGGGTCATTAGGGCACTTCATTGCCATGGGTCTGCTTTGTTGTAGCAAGAATATTATTCCTATTGGCATTTCCCATAGTCATTAATTAGCTGTACTAATAGCCTTCCTTGAGGCTGTGCTTCCCCCTTCTTCACAAACCACTGTCATCTCTGCCTTGGCCAATTACCTAATTACAGTCTTAGTCTGTTAATTTTTTCTATCCTATCTATTGCTCTAGAGCTAGCGGTAAGTGAGATTTACAACACTTGGTTTATCTAGAAAGTCATGTATCTTGAAATAGCTCTGTACTGTGGAGCAAGTCTGTTGGTAAGTCGTTTTTCCTTCTCATGGTCCACTTCATTTCTTGTATGAATGTCACCCTAGTGTGGTGTGTAGCAAAAGCCACTAGAAGAACCCGTTGCTTCAGCACAGAATTCCCTTGCAGCGTACCTGCTATGGCTGTCAGGCTGAATCCATTAATATGAATCGGAAAGTACAGTAATGCTTATTAGCACAACTTAGGTAGAAAACAATCCTTAATCTTCATTCTGCTCTTCAAATGAACGCGTGCTCTGCTCACGCTTCCCCGTGCTTAATGGAGCAATTTGTGTTCCTCCCTATTAAATCCAGCCACTCTCTGTGTGCAGGGAGGCCGAAGTGACGGCAATGCAGAGGGGGGCTGGGTAGATGATGCCAAGCTCAGCTTTTATTTTGAAGTCCACATATCTCGTTTGTCTGGCTCTCTTTGGGTAAACAGTTTCACTGAGAAGCCAGGATTAAGTCCATTAGTGCAAACTGCTTTGGAGTAATGCACAACAAGCCATAGTAATTGTAACCTCGGTGACGGCGGAGAGAAGGGCAGATACCTTCAGGGTGAGACAGGGTCCCACCAAACACCAGTGACAGGGCTGTTGCCGGCCCCGAACCTCAGCACCGGGGCCCTGTTAGCAGCGAGACAGGGCCTGCGTGGCCTCCCTTAAGGACCCACGTCAGCAGTAAACACATAGAGATTTGCTTGTGTTTACCGCTCATTTTAGCGGGTGAGTAGTGGCAAGAGTGCACGACAGAGCAGTGGTAGGTAATTTGTGGGTACACTATCAACTCCTCATCTTCCCCCTCTTATGGAAGCCCAGCTCCAAGTCCCTCTTGGATGGCACAGGCCAAAATGCGTAGGTTGGTGCCTCAAAGTGGTTCTCGGTGGCTTTGTTCAGGTGCGCTGCAGTAAGATGTGCCATTGCTGGCATAAAGAAATATTCTGGAGGGATGTAACCCCTCCCTGCTCGCTTCAGAAACCCAATTATGTCCCTTAACTTTTTTCTCTTATGATCCACTCTGCAAGTTTAAACACTGTATGATACCGTTTAGAGCTGCGCTAGTGCATCATTAGTATCAGCTCAGCATGCTGCTCAGCGTCATCTTAAATCCATAGTTGACTTGTGCTTCTGTCACACCAGTACGTACCTAGGTGAAATATATAGACTGAAGGAAACTCATAATATTCAGCAAGTCATGCCATATTTTTGAAAAGTCTGTTCAAAAAGCATGTCTTTAGTAAAAATTAGAGCAAGGGTGAGAAAGAAAAATGTTAAAGCGAATGTGTTAAGTCTGCGAGATAAAGCATGTGAACAATGTATTGCAAGATAAATCATCTAATCCCTAGTTGTTGTCCATGACAAATGCAATATAATTGGAATTATTTTGACTTATAAGAAAGGTTAATTAACCCATTGTTCTTCAGTTCTCGGTCATATACTGGTACAGTTTGAGCATGATTGTTGTTTTCTGTCACTTACTGCTTGGGGCCTTCTCCAGGGAGAAAGATGAGGATGTACATGCCCACTCAGGGGTTAAAGAGGGTCTTGAGCCCAGGCCTCCTGTGCTGCTGTCTCTAGCTACTAAGAAAGATGGTAAAAAAAGGGTGGGTGATTGGATGTGTTTTTGAATGAATGTTCAGGATTGTATGCTTTCTTGGGGTTTCTGTGCTGTGAGTATGTGTTATTTTGTGCCTTGAGCATGCCTGCTGGACTCATTTCTCATAGTTTAAATGCAAGATGACTGATTTTGGTATTGCAGACAGGCTTTGGTATGAGTTGGGAGGCTTTATGTTTAAACACCAAAGTGCCTGTGGATTCTCGGGTACCTAAGCAGAAATCTCAGTCTTGAACTTTAAACGTTTAGGTACCTCTGCTATTTTGGGACCAAGGCACTGAGCAGCTCTGCAGTGTTTTGTACATGCAACCCAAATTTAATAAGCAACATTCCCACTCTTCTGTATGCTTCATGCGAGGAGTGACACTGCCGTGGTCGTCTGTTCAGCCTCGTTTGACTGTAAGCACTGTTTGCTGTTGGAAGGGCTTCCCTACATGCACATCCCCAGGAGCAGAAGTATGTAGTAACAAGTGTGATGCTGTGACTTGGAGTGAAGTAGTAGTCAGCACAGCGGCAGAATCACCATTTTGAATTCCAGTTCTCCTTATAAATCAATTCAGGTCTGTTTTCAAAGATCCTGGTCAATATGGATGAGGATCATCTTCTACATGTCTGTCTGCTTCTGTATGACTTCAGCCAGAGTGTTGTGTCTCTCCTTTCCCATCTTGTATGTTCTCAAAATGCTAGCCTAGCTCCATCCCTGGTGCAATGGAGAAAACCCCTGAAAAGTCTCACAAGCCTTTGGTTAATCAACTTTAACTCTTTCCTACAGATTTAGCTTAAAAAATGTAAATTGACAGATAGGATTAAAAACTACTTTTGCCAGGAGCAGATGGTTCTGGAGATCCTTCCAATTCATGCTTGGTGAGTGATGTTTATCGGGTAAACGTAAGATCTGATTTTAAAAAAGGATCTTGTAAACTTGTGGAAGTTTACAGCAGTTGCCATGCGCATCAGACCCCATGTTTAAAGGGAGCAGTATTTTAACCACTTTTGCGTCCAGGAGGAATATCAGACAACTGTAATCTCTCAGAGATGTTTCTTTGTAACATTGGTGCTTTAGATTTTGAAGGTTTATGTCCTTTATGCATTTCCTTTAACCTGTTAAATATGATGGATGTTGTGTATGCTAGCCCTGAACTCAAATTCTGAAGACTTAACTCTGTACTAGCAGCTTCTGCACTGAGGTTAATATTTTTACATGGAATAAATCCAAACTATTACTGTACAAAACACATCACTGATGTAATTTACTATAAAACTAGTGTTTTTTGGATGCACAACTGTTCTGTGATCATAAGCCCATATATTGAAGTGCTTAAATACTCCACTAGGAACCATAGCGATCAGAGGTGAAAAATCAGCATCGTCTTAGAGAGTGGGCTTTGCTTTTCCAGCCTTCTGAGTCTGCCTTTTCTCTTCCTGCAGCTTGTGGATGTGACCTGGCTCAAGGAGGATTTTTTGTGAGACAGGGAGACTACATCTGTACTTTGGACTACCAGAGACTCTATGGCACACGGTGCTTCAGTTGTGATGAATTCATTGAGGGAGAAGTGGTCTCAGCACTGGGCAAAACCTATCACCCAGACTGTTTTGTGTGCGCTGTCTGCAGGTATGTTTTCTACATGAAGTTGTGTTTCATTTACAAACTAGATCTTGAAAGACGAATGCCAGGCGTTCAAACTTATAGCCTATAGATGGGGGAAAAAAAGAAGTTCTGTTTTCTAGTATCCACTCTTTAAGAAGTAGCAGAGTTTAAAAAAAAAACCAAACACAAATTCTGAGTGCCTCTTTTTGTTTCAAATGCTTTTTCTGTTTTATGGTATCTCATGTGTGAGGTTTTCAAAGTACTTGAGAAACTGCCACTGCTTCTACTGTCAGACCTTTAGCCCCAAATGTTGCTTTATTTCTCCGATGTCTGCTATTTTGTCTTTTGTTGACTGAAGTTACAAAGGATTCATAGGCCAGTGGCTGAGTCTTTGGCGAACCGAGTGGATACTGTATTAATAGATTTAAACCAAAGTTTCACAGTGCTGCTTCCCAGAAACTCCATTAGTCATTTATAATAGGACAGAAAGGTCCTGGACTCACACACACTTACGTACATGTTGGATTTCACTGAGGGTCTCCAGCAGCCGTGGAGGTGACAAGTGATGCAGCACACAAGGTTTCCCCCACGCCCAGCAGCCTGGTGGAGTTCAGTGGGATCATTTCCCACGTGGGTACGTGCGATGCTGTGTTGGTGGGGATGTTTGCAGGCTCTGCAGTACAAGCGATTGATGTCCATTTGACCTGCATCTTAATCCACTTCTGTGGAAATAGCACAAACAAATCTGTTGAAGACTTCAGGAAGAAACTTTTAAGTCCACCAGACCTTCAGGAAATGCAGTTACAGCAGTTTGGAGCAAATGGAAATGCTGTAATAATTTTTTTGGCTAGACTTGAGCCTTTAGCAGTACAAGAAAAGTAACCCCACGTTCAAAGGGAAAGCACAACGGGGCACCGATGCACCGCACTGTAGATGCTATATGTGCTGGTGCAGGTGACTGTGCAGTCCAAAACCAGCGTGTCCTTGTCACTGTGGCCATCTGCCAGCCGCATCTGCCCAGCTCGTAGGGCTGCCGAGCTCAGATGTCCTCCTGTGCTGATGCAGAAGCAGGACTTCAAATTCCAAAACAGCTGTGTTTCATGGCAGGGTATCAATTTAATGTATCAGTTGCAGGAATAATTAAATAGCCACATTAACAGGAAGGCTCTGAGACTGACAAGCCTTTATTATATTAAATTCTGTCCAAGTTTTGCTGTGTTTAATAGGAGATTTTTTCCTTTTGGATACTTAAACAAACATGAAGAGTAAAGATAAGAAAAAAACCCCTAAAATCATCTTTTTTTTTTTTTTTTAAAATAGGAGGAAAAAATATTTAATTGGCTGATTTGTATCTCATGAGTTAACTGCTGGCTGCACATGCTCTTGGCCTGCAGCCTGTCTGTATTACAGCTCTTCTGCAGATGAGCACAGCTAAATCTTGGTACCTTTCTTCTTAGCACTAGTACCTTCTGTAAAGTGAGGTACTTCTTCATTTAAGAGAAAAACTGGTTGATTCTGTTTTCCTGCTAAATGCTAAATAAATCCTCAGCGACACCATTAGCATTGAGGCATAAATTATTTACTTGTGTGTTACTGTACTTAGCAGCTTGGTATCTAACTTAGGTTTCAGTCAGGCCGTTGGATATACTAACTGCTTGCTGTATTTAGTCAGTCCTTCAGCTGATAGTTTGGAGCTTGGTGGTACAATTTGTCTCGTTTCCCTGGAAATTCAGAACAATTTTCCATATGACAAACTACTTGTTCTTAGGTACCTAACAATTCAGGTGAGCTGAATTGCAATACAGTGAAAATACTCACTAGAACATACTACAAATATCATGTGTATTGATGACATGCTAAAGCTTTTAAAAATGAAGTTCCTGATACAGTAGTATTTCATATTAAAAAAAAAATTCAGACATGTTCCCTAACTTTCTGTATAACTAAATAGTTGGATTAAAAGCTATTTCACTGATGAAGTTTCTAATTGCTGCTATCTAAAACTTCAGTAGAAAGACCCAGATTTGCTTCCGTTGCTTTCCTTAGAAGGATGCACAAATTTATGTCATCTTCGTCAGAGCCAGCTAATGCCCTGCTGACTAGCAGCATTCAATTAGTGTCTCCCAGGGGGGGTGTAACACTGACTTGTGGTGCAGAGCAACAGAAGAATTCTGTCATCTGTTTATAGTAAAAACACTGGACCGGGTCCTCAACTGCTTTAAATCAGCATTGCTTTAATTACCCCAGTCTTTGCA